GAGTTCCCATTGAACACAGAACAGAATCGTAGCCTTTACCTTGGAGCAGACAGCCTGATTCATGCTGATGCAGTCAGGGTTCAGAGGACTAATTTATCCAGGGAAGGCGTTGGCAGGAGGGTATTTACAAGCAACTGCGTTGCCTTGCCTGATATTTCCTTTTCTCCTTCATAGCAAACAGGATATATTTTATTGTGCTCTGCAATAAGATTTTAACTTGGTCCCATTGTGTTTTGTGCTGCTTTGTTGCACAATTTGAAACTTGATTGCAGGCTGTGTTACCGTAATTTGCTTTCTCCAGTGTTGGCACAGCCCATTGGGTAAGCGGAAATGGATGTAAACCTTTTGGGGTTTGGGCACTTCAGTGCACGCAAACCTGTAGTTAGCAGAAAGATCTGTATTGGCTTCAGCTGCCTGTTCCTATGCTGGTTGAGAGGAGAGGACCTTTGCAGTTTGACTTCCCAAACTTTGTCTCTGGCACATACATGATACAAGGGGATGTATTAGCATTAGTACTAAAGAAAACACTGCTAATATAGCTTAGAATGAAGTCTTTTGGGTTGTTCTGTTGTTTTTTTTTTTTTTTAATGAGAAAAGTACTTTTTAAATCAAAGGTTGGAGGGAAAAAAAAGCTGCTTTTTTATTTTTTAGCCAGCTTTGTTTTAGAAAAATGTCTGGGATGAGTAAATACAGCTGCATATTCATTGTTAAACTGCCAGCTTCGAAAGCATTGCAGCAGCATATGGTTACACCTGCTGACCATCACAGTTTCCATTTAGGGTCTGTAAGAAGGTCTACAAAGTTTGCTTGATCCCACAACACCTCCCTGGTGCAAGGGGACATTCCCTTGTGCCAAGCAGAAACAGACACTCAGAGGAGGCATGAGGTCCCCAGGGTTATGAGATAGTTCACCTGAAGGATCTGAACTGGACATTGCAAATCTGTTGTTTAAGACTCATGGTTGATTTCTGTACTGATATGGACCCTACAGCATTACACCTGAGTAAAACAGAGTCAGGACTGGACCCCTACAAGGCAGGGAATGGGGACCAAGGCACATCCCTAGGCTGGCACTAGCCATTATGGCTTTCTTTACCCTCCTACAAGTCATTGGGGGCCTTCTACTGAGCTCCCTGTTCAACAGCCTTGCAGCAACTTTCAAGTTATCCATTTGCTGCCCCCCCCCAGAAAAAAACAAAAAAGACTAAATGTTCTCAGCTCAAGCCTTGCATCTTATTCCAACCTAGTAATAAGTGTGATTTATTTCCCTGGAAAATGTAGAGCAATAACCTGATTAAATCTCACTTCACTAATGTCTGCAAGACATTAATCTAGCTGGGTTTAAACAAATCCTACCTCGTCTTCTGTAAGCAAACAGATCTTAGGGAAGGTGTCTAAGGTTTCTGCTGGGAGCGCTTCACAAAAGATGTATTGTTGAAACTGAAGATTAGTCTCTACAAAAAGGTGATGCAAATGCCAACAGAAACATCTTAGTGTTTTTCTTCTGTGGACTGAGGGGGGAAGGGAGGAGATCTGGGGCTCACTGGACCACTGTGTAGGGTCCAGAGGAAGGACACCTCCAGGGTGATTCTCAGTCTCATTGCAGGAAGGAACATGATCACCCAGAGAAATCCCCAGTTTATTCCCTCATTTTGCTGCTCTGCCAAGCCCCTACAGAAACAGTAAGCTAATGGTGCCCAAGCCCTATGCATTCAGCCTTTCCCAGACTTCATGGTCCATCTCACTGGGAGTGGTAGCCTGAAACAACATCTAGACTACCCTTACTATCTTATCTATTTCTTCAGCTGCTTCTTTTAGCCCTCAGTACACAGGTGGCTTATATATTGATATATCAGCATAGACATGGCATCCGGTTGTTTGGGTTAAAGTGAGGGACTCAGCCACCAAAGGATGGCAGAATGGAGTAGCTTGTGCTCCTTCAGGTCTTCTCTCTATGCACAGTGAGATGGTCTTTAGTTTCATGATCACCTGCTCTGTTTTCCTGCAGCAGCTCAGTCTCATAAGACAAAGCCTGACCTAGAGTTTAATTAACTAATTTTCAGGAGGCATTAATTGACTAATCCCATGGGCATTTGGGTTGTTGAGCCTGGAGAGTCCATTGAGTTATTGCATGTCTGCAGAGGAGTGACTGAGCACGTGCTCCCAGCCAGAAAAGCATGGAAGCTTTAACTTCGAGGGAGAAGACACAAAGAAGTCTGGTTTACCTTGCAGCAGATGAGCAGAGAGGCATCCATGCCCTTAATGGCTGAGCTATGACTTACAAGGATGCGCTTGCAGTAATTCAGCTGCAAAGCCGTGCCCTTCACTTCTGCTCTTGTTGTTCTTAAAGAAGCCAACATCTTCCTGTAGTCCCTTAGGCACTTTTACAGATGTGTTCCCAGCTTCTTCCTTATAACTCTTCATCTGCCCTACCCTTGCTTCCTCTCTGCTCCTGTGTACTGTCCTCTCCAGGTTATGCTGTGTTTGGCTTGCAGGCTGCTCCCTACAGGGTCATTTCCTACTGCTGCTGTGCTCCTGTTGCCTGCAGTGCTGAGCAGCATGCAATCCAGCTGTAATAAAAGCTGGGCTTTCCCAACATGGTTATAATCCAGCCAATTTGTTTGGTTAGATTCGCAGCTTAGGTTTTTTGTTTCCTGTTTTGATGATGGTCCAGGCCTTCGAGTCCTGTGACAATAGGCAGAAGGTATTCCTTTCAGCTCCATTAAGCCTCTTCTGGGTACAGCAGCTTACAGGCAGATAGCTGGAGAGATGTCTCAAGAAATCACAGTGTTTGAACCAGCTGACAGTCTCCTCTGAGTCTTGCTTCTGCTAGTGGAGCTAGCTCCAGGTCAGCTAGCTCCCAGCAGCAGGTTTCCTTCATGCTGAATTGGAGACACCATAGTGGGACAGAAAATCCCGCTGTGGGATAGTCTGGAATCACTCTTGGACCATTTCACATGGTGAAATCATGGCCTTTGCAACATGTTGGGAGCGCTGATGGACAAGGCAAGGTTTGGAACTCCAGTGCCAGTGTTCCCAGGGCAGCTGCTTCTGCTGCTCTCGCTGCACTCTGCTAATTAGCTGCAGAGAAATCAAGCTTCAAGCCATCAACTCTGGTACAGGAGGAGTGGTTTTCAACTGTCTAGCTTTGTAGTATTTGGAATTTTAGTGTTTGAGCAAATGCATATATAGATATAGGCAAATGGCTGGGCTTATGTCATTTATCATGCCCATGTAAGGACCAGATCCTGCATTGCTATGGGAGAAGATACTGTGAGAAGGAAGTGTACTTTCAGTTATCCGTTATTCTAAGTTAAAACATGGTGTCACTGAAAGCCATTCATTTACTAGATACTTCTGTTAATAATTATAATTACTGATAACTAAGCCAGAGCTGGATTAATTTCAGACTTCTACTGGGGATTTAAATTCAAGGCTAAGGTCAGGCCAGGGCTCATAGTCAACAAACAAAACCATTTTTTTAATGATTCTTTTTTACTAGAAATAACATGAATTCCCAAAGAGTGGGATTAATCAAGTAGACATTGCATATGGTCTGCTGCTTTTAGAGCTTTTTTGCAGTTAGGTTCAAAATATCACAGCCAGGCCACTCGTGGGAGTTTGCTTTTTCTCTCTGTGCCTGGATACAGTCTAAAAAGCAGAGAAAAAGCCAAGGATTCAGTTCTCCAGTACTCCCCCTGCAGAAATGCATGCAGGCTCAAAAGAGATTTCTGTTTAAACCACCACTTATTATATATTAATAACTGAATTTAAATCAGTTCTCAGTATCTAAGAGTGTATTTTCTGTAAGAATCGTAAGGTGATGTTCAAAGAATATGCAAATCCAGGAAAACTAGGGAATTTATAAGGTATCTGACATAAGATTATAAGGGATGATGCAGAAAACTCTCTTAATGCTAAGGTTGCCTATACTGAAGAATAGAAATGCTTTGTTGTTGTCTGTAGCCATGAACTTTACCAATCATATCTCTATTGCATAAATACTGGTGTAACACTCAGATGCTCAGCTGCCAGGCAGCCACTGTAGAATGGAAGCTGGATTCTCCCTTTATTCTTCACGTACTACAAATTTCTGTTAAGGAAACTGGAGAGAAGTTGGCAGGGTAATGCAGTGGCCATCTTAAGGAAGCATGCTCTAGTTTAGGAGTCTACCAGAGCTAAAGCACAGTTCCCTAGTACACTTTTTTCTATCCATAAGCATGACTGTGTTTACATATGATTATTTCTGTCTCTCAAATATATTTTTACCTACCCTGTAATAACAATTCAACTACCTATTGGTAGAGGAGGAAAAATTTTCATCTGTAAAATATTATATTTATTGTGATTTGTTATGCAAATATTTAGTCTTCTCTTTCTCCCCTTATATTTCACTTCTATTCATCCCTTTAGAACTGTATTTTCCAACACACTTGATAGTTAAGTCTCTGAGCAGATGTGCT